GGTCCTTTCGCACCATAGCCCAGCCAGCCTCGTGTTGTTCTGGGGTCACTAAGCCTGGATTTACCCAGTTGGGTCAGTCATTTGGTCACCTCTGGCCTCTGATTCCTGAGACAGGAGAAATCCAGCCCAACCCAGCAGTCTGCCCACACCTTAGAAATTCTCTAGAAAGGATATTAAGAAATTATTACGTCAAAAACCTTAATAACTCTTGTACCAACCTAATAAATCAAAATTGGCCTTTATCCTGACCTGGCAGGGGAGAGGCCATGCTCACGAACGTGGTTCTCCCAGAGTGAGGCTTATCCATTGCACTCCAGATGTGCTGACCCCTGCCACTTCCCCAAATGTAGATCTTTTTATTTATTTATTTTTTTTGAGACAGAGTCTTGCTCTGTCACCCAGGCTCAAGTGCAGTGGCACGATCTTGGCTCACTACAGCCTCTGTCTCCCAAGTTCAAGTGATTCTGCTGCCTGAGCCTCTTGAGTAGTTGTGATTACAGGCACCCGCCACCATGCCTGCTAATTTTTGTATTTTTAGTAGAGACAAGGTTTTGCCATGTTGCCTAGGCTGGTCTCAAACTCCTGGGCTCAATTGATCCACTTGCCTTGGCCTCCCAAAGTGCTGGGATTACAGGTGTGAGCCACAGTACCCAGGCCAAATGTGGAATCTTGACCCTATATTTGGTGGTAGTGGAGAACAACCTTCACACTAAAAAGTAAACAAACGGAATTGAACCAAGCAGGGTGGCTCCCATCTGAAATTCCAGCACTTTGGGAGGCCAAGGCAGGAGGACTGCTTGAGCCCAGGAGTTCCAGATCAGCCTGGGCAACATAGTGAGACCCTATCTTTTAAAAAGTAGAGCAAATTAGCTGGGAGTGGTGGCGCACACCTGTGGTCCCAGCTACTGGGGAGGCTGAGGTGGGAGCATCACTTGAACCCAGGACTTCAAGGCTGCATGAGCTATGATCATGCCACTGCACTCCAAGATGGATGACAGAGTAGGACCTAGACTCCAAAAAACAAACAAACAAACAAACAAAAAAAAAACGCAAAGGCAGTTAAGAGTTTAGCAAAAGTAGAAGGTCAGAGGCAGAGGTGACTAAAAAACATCCAACTGCCTCAACCACCAGTGCACACTGCCACCTCTGACACCAAGGTCCCGGGAAGAGGGGAGAGGTGAAAGGATAGGGGCCTTGCATTGCAAGGGGAGTGGGGAAGATGTGGAGCTTGGAGCCCATTTCATTTTTTTTTAATTATTATTTTTTGAGACAGAGTTTCACTCTTGTTGCCCAGGCTGGAGTGCAATGGCCTGATCTTGGCTCACCACAACCTCTGCCTCCTGAGTTCAAGTGAGTCTCCTTCCTCAGCCTCCTGAGTAGCTGGGATTACAGGCATGTGCCACTATGCCCAGCAAATTTTCTATTTTTAGTAGAGCCGGGGTTTCTTCATGTTGGTCAGGCTGGTCTCAAACTCCCGACCTCATGTGATCTGCCTGCCTTGGCCTCCCAAAGTGCTGGGATTACAGGCATGAGCTACCACCCCCGGCCCTTTTTTTTCTTTTTTGAGATGGACTCTCGCTCTGTCGCCCAGGCTGGAATGCAGTGGCACAATCAGTATACTGCAACCTCCGCCTCCCGGGTTCAAGTAATTCTCCTGCCTCAGCCTCCCAAGTAGCTGGGATTACAGGTGCCCACCACCACGCCTGGCTAATTTTTTTGTATTTTTTAAAGTAGAGACGGGGTTTCACCATGTTGCCTAGGCTGGTCTTGAACTCCTGACCTCAGGTGATCTGCCAGTCTCAGCCTCCCAAAGTGCTGGGATTATAGGCGTGAGCCACTGCGCCCAGCCAGAGCCCATTTCACTTGAATCACAGAACAAGAACATCAGCCAACTTCTGGGTTACCGCATTAAAAAAGTAACGCATTAATAACTAATATTCAAAGGGGGCTTCACAAGCATCAGGCTCTGCACTTTTATGTATATTATCTCCATGAGGAGTAGGTTTTATTCACCCCTACTTCATGGAAGAGAAAACTGAGGCTCCGTGAGGGTCAATAAACTGCCTGAGTTCACAAAGCCGAGAAAAGACAGAGCCAGGATTGGAACTCACATCTCTCAAGCTCCAAAGACAATGCATAGCCCAAGGCTAAAGAGTG